TTTTTTTTTTCAAGTGACTGAAATAAAAACTGTTGCCCACATTAACGGTTGAAGAGAGGCTTATATTTTTCTCGTTGCTGCAGGGGAGGCAAGCCTTTGCATGCGACTGTATCTGAGAGATATCTGTATGTGCATTATGTGCAATTTCAGCGTTCGGAGATGTTTTTTCTGTCATCGGAGTGCGAGAGCCCCAGGCTGCAGCCAGTGAGGCGTTTGTGAAGTTTGCAGATGCTCATCGCAACATTGAGAAATACGGCATTCAGCTACTAAAGACCATCAAACCTGTAAGTGCAGATTTAATGCTGCAGGTTAATTATGTCTTGACCAGAAAGCGCGCAAACTGCTATAAGAAGATGTTTCAGTCTTGTACCGTTCTATTTTGATCAAATCAAGTAGAGTCGAGAGTGACAGAAATTGCAAACAAGATGGAAAAATCCAGGGTACTCTGAGTCTTCAGTATAGAAAGAAAGCTCTACATTTTCCCTCTAGTTTATATTTTTGACATTTAAAAAAAAAAATCTTCCTCTGAGGTTAGTCTTTATGGCTCAGTTACATTTTATCAAACATTATGAATGAAAAACAAAACACGTGCTCTCCGTTAAGATGTCACCGACCAGACGTGTCTTGTTGTGCAGATGCTCCATGACCTGAACACGTATCTTCACAAGGCCATTCCAGACACAAAGCTCACCATCCGCAAGTACCTGGACGTGAAGTTTGAATATCTGGTGAGGACACAGCTCAGCATTTTGCCATCAACTGTAGTTGTGTTCAGCAAGTTCCCTGTTAGTGAATCACAGCGTGAACGTCTTTGTCTTTCAGTCTTACTGCCTGAAAGTGAAGGAAATGGACGATGAAGAATACAGCAGTATTGTGAGTAGCTGTTGCAGCCGGTCACCACTTAAATGATCCTGATTTATTCTGACGCTGATTGTCCGGATGTAAAAACCCAATCACTCGGCACAACTCCTTGTTTATGCATCCACAATCAAACAGCCAGTGACTGATGTGCTTCTTCCGGCAGGCCATGGGAGAGCCTCTGTACCGCGTCAGCACCGGTAACTACGAGTACCGGCTGGTGCTGCGGTGTCGGCAGGAGGCCCGTGCTCGCTTCGCCAAAATGAGGAAGGATGTTCTGGAGAAGATAGAACTGCTGGATCAGAAACATGGTCTGTTCTCGTTGGGTTTTTAACTCCTCTGGTCACTCACTCTACCACTGGTAATGTGGTCATTACATCTGTCTGATCCATTTCAAATGGAACAATGTCAGTCATTCCCTCCTTTCCACTATGTTGGGAAGGATTTATTAGGTTTCAGGTCTAAACACACATTCTTTTTCCCTATATTTCAATTTCAATTTCATATCTAAATTAAGATGTGAGAGGTGGAGGTATAGCAGGTCAGAGGCGCGGTGACCTGTGCACCTGTGACTTTGATCTTTTTCTTTAAAGAATGAAAACCTGTTCACCTGCCGTTCCATTCCCTGTTTCATTCTCTCCTGTCTTCTCCCTCCCCAGTCCAGGACATCGTGTTCCAGCTGCAGCGCTTCGTCTCAGGCATGTCGCACTACTACGACGAGTGCTACGCCGTCCTGAAGGAGGCGGACGTCTTCCCCATCGAGGTGGACCTCTCCCGCACCATGATCAACTACAGCAGCCAGTCGCTCTCCTACACGGAGGACGAGGAAGACGAGGAGGGAGGAGGAGGAGGAAGAGGAGAGGAAGAGGGAAGCAGTGCAGGCAGACAAGCGGAGAACGGAGCAGAGAAACTGATCGATGACGAATGAAAACCGATGGCTGGTGTGTGTATGTGTGTGTGTGTCGTTGAATTCCACTCCATTTAAGTCACTCGTATTGAATGTCAGCACTAGTCGGTGATCTTTACGGTGGAGTATCGCAGCTGAAGCGGTTAACACTGTTGACACAAAGGTGAATACTACTTACAACTGCTGCTGTAATGCGGTTTGTTGGTCTTTTTGGTGGTCTTGTTTTTTGTCCTTCCCCCAGGATTCCATAAAGTAAATTGTGGTTGTTTTACTACATTTCTATAGTTTCACTCAACAGTCTCCCAACGCCTCCTTTCCACATAGCTGTGCATGCATATGTGAGTCAATCATCCATCCATCATCTATACATCGCTTAATCCTCACTAGGGTCGTGGGGGGCTGGAGTCTATCCCATCTGACTCAGGGTGAAGGCAGGTTCACCTGGACAGGTAACCAGTCTATCACAGGGCTACACTTAGAGACAGACGACCACCTTAACATTAACTTCAACATGTTTTTGGACTGTGTGGGAGGAAGCCGGACCAGGACGCGAACCGGCAACCTTCTAGCTGTGAGGCCGCGGTGCTAACCACCGAGCCATCTTGCAGCCCGTGAGTCAACCAAACATCATTTGCAGTGAAGTTTCATTCCATGTGTAAGACCAGGTGGCATTCTCCATATATTATATCAAATTACAGACAACAAACAAGCTGTGTGGAAATGAGGCGTTAAAGGTAGAGTCTGCAGTTCTGAAGAACTGAGCATGTCCAGGACGCACCGGAACACATTGATCCAAGCCGCTATGACGGAGACAGAGCTGTGTGCAAACATAAGCTGTTCGCTAATTAAAACTACAGTTTGAATTGCATCCTCTGCCTTTAAAAAAACAACCTTTTTTCCCCCTTTTTTTTCCCAACGCCACCCTCCTGTGACATAAGCTGTGTGAGTGTGAGAAACACCACCAACCGAAGGCGACTATTTTTATGTGCGTACTGCAGAGTAGGATCTATAAGTAAATGAGGCGTGCCTTCTTTGCTCTTTGTATAATGAAGTCTAACGGCTCTGGGCTGGGTTTCACTGTGCATCATATGGAATGTTAATATTTTAATTGTCATGTAGTCGTCTTTGCTACAGACATCGCTTCGGTTTATTTATCTACCTGAAATGTCTCACAACTGGTGTCACTGCAGAGACGTTTTCTCAAAGCAGCGACCAACTCATCGAGGGACCAGCTGATCGTTTTACAAAGATAGAGACTGAACAGACGTAATCCTGCTCCGACGTGAATGCTTTGTTATGTGCAGCTGTTACACACGTTTTCTTATCACACTTTCAGTTGTTTAACAAGGGAGAGCATTTACAAGTGTCCAGCTGCCGTCCAGCTTCAGCACCAAAGTCTTTTCTTTTTCTTTTTTTTTTTACATTCAGTCTGTTTTATCTTCTCATACTGCATGCATCAAGTTCAAAGGTGTCATTTTCCCATAATACCCTGCTGTATTGCGTTGTACCCTTCTCCAAGCTGTGGAAACACTACATGTAGGAAGCACGTGTAAGAAGTCCGCTGTTTTAAATTGTCTTTATTTATTTATTCAAGGTATATTTAAAACCTTTATTGACCAAGTTTTACTCTATGTAGAAGGTAATTATTCCCCTGTGTGGGTCTGTGCTTTCTGACCACTGGGGGGCAGCATCTCATCACTGCAGGGATGATTGCAGAGGGAACATTTTCTTCTTTGTGTTGTTGTGTTTTTTCTGAATAACTGGACTGTAATGAGAGGGACCTGCTGTGTGTGTTTATGTTCTTTTTACACAGGTAGCTTCATAAACAGTAAGTTTAAGTCGATTTTTGGTGGGGATAGTAAAATCATTTTTATTATGAAGAAAGTTTTGGGCTTATTTTAAAGGGATACTGTTTTTTTGTTTTGTTTATTTAAATCAAACTTATATTGCTATTTAAATTGAATTCCTTTTACTTGTTAATTCTGATTTGTTTTATCGATTGCGCAGAGGTGGTGTCCGTGACCGTGTAAAATAATATATCAAATAAAATCAGTCTATATAACGGAGGGCTGTGCGACAATTATTAGTGTAAAAGTACAACAAAAATTAATTAATATTGTAGTTATTGTGGTATTGAATGTTATTTTACTTCCCACTATAAAGGTGTATGTGACACATGTGTGCAGTCGCAGAGCCCCAGTGGCCTAATGGATAAGGCACTGGCCTCCTAAGCCAGGGATTGTGGGTTCGAGTCCCATCTGGGGTGGAAGCGTTTTGCCTCCCCAGTGTGTCTAAACCGTGGGAACATGAATGTTTTCCCTCCTCTGTCCGCTGCTCGACCAGCTTTACTCTCTCAGGTGTGTGCACGTGTTTGCTGGCCTTCTCCTCCGACCCGCAGCCAACCAGGAAACGCTCCGCTCCCGTGACTCCCTGAATATCTCGGACTTTCCCTCCCGTCATATAACATTTGAGTTCCTCTTCTCCTACGCTGGTTTTGTCCGATCGGCTCCATTGCTGTGCACCGGTTTCAGCTTTTGGCCGCATTCTCGCAGACATGCTTCTACCGAGGACACTACACGTCTTTCTGTTATTTGGTGCGGCGGCGACCTTCGCCTCTGCTGACAGTAAGTAGGTCGAGTTTGTGAGAAACCTCAGCTGGTTGTGTAAGGATCTGTTATTCTGCAGGACTTCACTTATCGTCACTGTTCTGCATGAGTGTTTTTTTTCACTCTGTCGCTGTGATTTAACGTGATTTGCAGACGAGCCTTTAAATGTGTTCTCCTGAGAGGTCTGGTCATTGAAACGTTGGCTTTTACTTTCATTTTAGTTGGCATACATCCACAGGAATCAGTAAAGAGGCTTTTACATAAACACAAAAGTAGAAATGCAAATATACAAGAGTTTGCCTCTTTGCAACTTCCCTCTTAAACTCTCAAGTACTAAAGATGTCATGTGTCAGCTTGAAGTTAGTAAAGAGCAAATGCCAGGTGTAGATGCACCGATAAACTGTTAAAAATCCTGTCAGCATCAGCTTAAAGAGCTGCTGTCAACATTAGTTGATCATTACATAGCTAGAATCAGCCCGGCTGTGGTCCAACCTTATCATCTGTCAGTGCTGTTGTCTGATGTAGGTTCGCAGTCATCCAGGTGTCCTTAGAACTTAAGACGTCTTTTTTGTTCTTCATCCAAGAGACGTCCCCTGTTCTGGCATTTTCATGTCATTCCTCAGAAGAGATCAGAGGTTGACGTCTTCAAGAACAAAAAGAAAAGCCCCGTGGTCTTCCACCGAAGCTCTCAAGATTACACGTTTGCCAATTCTTGGATTATGATTTACTTTGTGTCTCACAACGGGGATTTACCTTTTTTTTTTTTTCTTTCTCAGAAATGACAGCGGCCACTGTCTACTGGGACCCCCAACACAAGCTTGTGCAGCTGAAGGAGGGCGTGCTGGAGACGGAGGGGGATGCGTATGGGTACCTGAATGACACTCTGTCCAGTACCGGCTGGAGCATCCTGGAGATCCGCGCCGGATACGGAAAGACCCCCGAGACCGATGAGGTCACCTTCTTCTTGGCTGGCTTCCTCGAAGGTTTCCTCACCGCCCAGTAAGTGTCTTGATCATGTTTACGGTCCTTTCCACGACTTATGTGATGTCACTCGAGCATCTGATACTCAGAATAAAGAAAGCAGGACGAGAACATCAGCCATGTTTGTTTTTCTGCATGCGTTCACTCAGTATTCACACTAACTTCTTCCCCTCGAGGCAGATGATGGACCACTACACCAACCTGTATCGGCAGCTGATCCCGGACCCTAAGGTCCTCGAGGCGGTTCAAAGTTTCATGGCGTGAGTCTCTTCTCTTTTCTTGAAACCACAGCAGCAGTACTGCAGAAATGTACAGTACACAATCTGAGTCTCACATCGCTGTCATCATCTTTCATATCCTCTTCTCGGAGAAGTTCCGCTCATGGTGTGCCCAACGTAGCATTCAACATGTCTCTGCAGTGGTGTTTGGTTGCCCCTGACCACATTATGATAAAGTCCTGACTGTGATTATATTATAAAATCAGTGAGTCGGTCGTGTTTTCACTGCAATGAAGCGTTTATAGGTCATCTTATGCACGACCCCTCCTCAGTTTAGTCCGTTTATTAGCATGTGTCTGTTAGGCTACACGTCTGTGGAGCTTTTTATTACGAGCTCAGTCTTTGGTTTTGATTTATGCTCAACATTACAACGAACAGTCACTCGTATGTCTCTTGTAGGAAGCAGGACTCGTGGGTCAGAGAGCAGGTGAAGCTCAACAAGAGCTCTGATCCTCTGTGGAAACACGCAGGCTTCATCGTGGCCCAGCTGGACGGACTGCAAGCAGGAGTGGCAGACTGGGCTAAGAAACAAGGAAAGAAGGTTAGACAGCTATAGCTTAACAGGTTCATCACACAAAACTACAACAGAAGGTACAATGGACGTCACAAGACCAAAAAACCCTATGAAACACTGACACAAATACAGAAGTACCAACCACAGCTGGTTTCTCAGGTGCCAGTGTATTCATAAAAGATAAAACATAGGAAGGCCTTAATAAAAAAAAAAGAAGCTTTATAAATGTCAGAATCTTTGTAGAAGGAACTTGAAGTACTAAGAGCTTCATTAGAAGACAGCTGGACTTCTCCTTTTGGCTCTTGAAGATGTTTCAGATACTTGTTCGGTTCTAACTGACTGATGGCGATTCTCAGGTGTTAAATATCTCCTTCAAATCTGCAAACACACCAAGACTCACGTGCCTGGAAGTGTGGACGGTTGTGAAACTGCTTGGATGACTCAAGCTGTTAATATGGAAAGACTGCACTATAAGGACCTGATGAGTGGAGCAGTAGACCCCCTCCTCTAGTTGGAGATGGCTGTTCCAGTTCAACATAGACGTCTTTTAACTCCTCTCTCGAAGCGTCTTTCTTCAGGAGCAGATCTGAGGAGCTGGTTCTCCTTTGCTGTTGCTGTTGTTCAGTCTCTCCTATGTGTAGGTCCGTGCACTCCTGGCTGCATTGGGCTGCATATGCAACAATGCTCAGCTTGTGTGTAGACGTTTTATCTTTATCTGGTGCTGCTGGGTCTAAAATGTCCCGGTATGCTGTCTTTAGAGAAAAACCTTCTGGGTTTCTCGGACACTCTAGCTACATAAGGGATGACAATGTGTGTGAAGATTCTCAGTCATCCAGGTCATGATTATCCTCGTAGTTTAATCGTAGCAACTGGACCTGCTTGAGTTCCTTGAAGACGTTCCACCTCTCATCCAAGAGGCTTCATCAGCTCTGACTGACGAGTTGGGAGTTCCACATACTGATATCCTTCTTTGACCCCTCTCTCCAATCATCTGTCCTCCCTGGCCAACATCTGTACGTTTATGTCTTCAAATGAGCGTCCTAAAGAAACCCTCAGTTGAAACCAAAACTCAGGTGTTAATGTCTCCTTCAGGATATCAGTATGTGGAACTCCCAACTAGTCAGTCAGACCTGATGGAGCCTCTTGGATGAGAGGTGGAACGTCTTCAAGGAACTAAAGCAGGTCCAGTTGCTACGATTAATCCACGAGAAAGAAGGGATGACAATGAGAAGCTCCAGATAAAACAAACCAAAAGCGTTCTACTGAAGAACATTTGATTACCGTGATCTTGATGTATGAGAATCTACATCGAAGCTCTAAATCACAATGCCCACTTCATCGGAGTAGTACACCGCACTTAATTTAATTACATTTTTTGCCAAGATGTTATTTGAAATGAGGAAGCTCAACTGCAAACTGACCTTGTAGTCTCTGTACATGATGTCACTCTGAAATTTAGAGAGATTATATATGCAAAAGCAGAAGGGTTTCTTATTTATGATCCACTCTGGATACAGACAACGCCCCTATAATGCCAATACGATTGCACTGCTGTCAGTAAAAAGTCGCGAATTTTAGTTATTGGCACTTTGTGAACAGCTTCACTCGCAGTTTTATTTGTTTTTAGGCATCAATTTATTGTCAACATGCAAAAGAAGGTGATTGGTCTCGATTTTGAGTGTCTGTTGTTTTGGTGGCTCGCTACAGAGGCAGCGCTGCTTTTTAACGTTCAGCTGTTTCCCTGGTGTCCTTCCCACAGCCCCTGTCGCTGTTTGCCGTCCAGTTCCTGAACGCAGTGGGAGACCTGCTGGATCTGATCCCAGCGTTGGTCCCCGGCTCCAATCCGTCACTCAGAGACTTCAAACTTCCAGGGATGGGCCACTGCTCTGCACTCATCAAGGTCAGAGGTCAAAACACACTCAATCCAACTGTAAGGACTGTTGCACACCGCACATGAAGGGATGTGCGCGGCAGTTGTATAAAGGAAGTTCCTCAAAGCTTCTGCATAGCAAATTAGTAATGCATCACTGACATCAGCTGTAGTCTGATGATTTCCATAGTGGTGCAAAATGAGAAAAACAAGCATGTACCAGAGAGGAATGGGTTTCCTGTGTCATCTATTGTGCTGGTGCATTGGTAAATGAAAGAGTTTTAATCTTTGGTGCTTCGCTTTTTTAAAGAAAATAAGGGTTTCTTTTTAAGGCTTTCTCTCTTCATCAGAGGACAGTTTTGTGAGCGAAGGTGTCTTGTCTGTTTTATTACAGCTGCAGTAGCGTTTGTAGTTTGATTTGCTGCACGAACAAAGAACTCCCACACGCACGCATGCTGGAGTCTAACTGTGTACATTGTGTGGGATGAGGAACAAAAACCTCGGTCTGAAACAAAGCGTTTCCACATCCATGAAAATATTTTAACAACACCTGCAGAAAAAATTTCCCATGTTAAGAGGATGTAAGCATTCGTCCCCTGGTTCCTCCTCCAGTCGCTCCCGGTGGCCATGCGAGCTCTGTGCATTGCTGTTGTTGTGTGAATAGCTGAATGAGGGGGGGGTATTGTGAAGCGCTTTGTCAGGTAATCTAAAAATGCAAGTTCAGTCTATTTACCATTGGGGTTTGTAAGTGATGCAGTATTTTTTTTAGCATTGTTGCATCAGTTTTTACTTAAAATCCCATCTTTTTTGTGTAAGTAAAACTCAGCCTTACCCGCTGTACGTAGCACATCTGGGTTTTGCAGCATTTCTGCAGTTAATTGAATATGTAGCTTAACCAACATGATTAACGCCAATACTGGAGACCATGCTGAGATGGGATCACTCTTGAGTACACAGTAGTCATTATTACATTATCAAATGGTCAGCTAGGTACTAAGCACTTTACTGGGATTCTTTGTGATCCCAACAACACACCAGTAGAGTTCAATGACTGCACTTTGCACTGCTGTGATGCCATCAGGTTGACTGCATCTATCCATAGACAGACATATAAATACCTTTTAAAGAGCTCCAAATTGCCTTTGTGGTGGTTCCTCCTACAGTCTTCAGGGTTGCACTTTGCTTGGATGACACACACACACACACACACACACACACACACACACACACACACACACAGTCACACAACCCAGATAAAGAAAATCTGGAGTTAAAGCTGGTCACAAGGTTGCAGCAGCTACATACAATTTTTCCCTAAGTCGCTCCAGAAATACGGTGCTCGTCTGCTTCAAACGTATTTCTTTCATGGTTCGGGCGCTGACACTTAGCAACAAACATGCTCTTTTATGGTGCTGCCATGACATCAAGTCCCTGCTGTATTATTTTATTAGGCTTAATAATTAGCACATCGTCTCGGCCTGATCATTAACCGGATCACTAAGTGAAGCATTATACTGAGGATACCTTTAACTTCTTCTATTCTGAGTCACAAGTCCCAGTCATTTCCCCTGATCCTGTGCTGTAATATTAAATCCTGAACCCTAAGTTCACTTTACTGTTTTCTGTCCTCAGATGCTGCCAGGCTTTGAAAACCTCCTGTTTTCCCACTCCAGCTGGTACACGTACGCTGCTACGATGCGGATTTACAAACACTGGGATTTTCGCGTTTCTGAGCCCCACACGGCCACGGGGAAGCTGTCCTTCAGCAGCTACCCTGGTATGTAGGCCCGTCGGCAGGAGTTCTGCCGTGATAACAATGGCAGCAGTGAAGTCGCAGCTATGTGCGGCACAGTTATTCTATGTGAGCAACAAGATAATGCAGTCAGGAGGTTTAAAACAGCAAGTCAATAATGAGTCAATGAGGTCCAGAAGGACAGCACTATTACAGCTAACGAGCTTTACACTGTTTATCACATGATTTTCTGCTCAAAGGTTCCTTCTGCCGTGTCTGCCACATTCACACACACACTTGAGTCTGATATGTCCAATCCCATGTTTATAATGTGGTTTGCTGCTCTTCAGGTTTCCTGGTGTCTCTGGACGACTTCTACCTGTTGGGCAGTGGTCTGATGATGACCCAGACCACCAACAATGTCTTCAACTCCTCCCTGTTTGACACAATCACCCCAAACAGCCTGCTGGCTTGGCAGAGGGTCAGGCTGGCTCACAGTTTGGCGCATACTGGAGAAGAGTGGGCCAAAACCTTTGCCATGCACAACTCCGGTAAGTGGAGTTCGGTAATTACACATTTGTTTGGCAACACAAGTTTGTTTAATTTAGTTATTAGAAGCCCAATAAACACACAAAAGAATGACTATGGCATGCCTTAATGTGTCAGTTCTACCTTTGTTATGCGTCTCATAGTGCAGCTGAACGCACAAGTTCATTTTAAAGAGATTTATATGAATAAATGATGCAAAATAATACCACTAGCACCCAATAATGTAATTATTTACAGAAAATTTAATCAAGGTTGCTCTTAGCTTGGGGCTGTAAGGTGGATCAGTGGTTAGCACCGTCGCCTCGCAGCTAGAAGGTCGCTGGTTTGCGTTCCAGTAAGAACACCCGGGATCTTTCTGCGTGGAGTCTCCACGTTCTCCCCGTGCAGCGTGGGTTCTCTCCGGGTTCTCCGGCTTCCTCCCACAGTCCACAAACATGCTGAGGTTAATTGGTGATTCTAAATTGTCCGTAGGTGTGAATGTGAGTGTGCTTGCTTGTCTGTCTCTAAGTGTAGCCCTGTGATAGACTGGTTACCTGTCCAGGTGAACCTGCCTTCACCCTGAGTCAGCTGGGATAGACTCCAGCCCCCCATGACCCTGGTGAGGATTAAGGTGTAGAGATGATGGATGGACAGATGTTTTGACTTTCACTTCAGTCTTCCTCAGAATCATCATCTGATGTCTGTGGTGACGTGTCTTTACCAGGCGGGTCACGCCTCCAGGAAACCACCAGCTGATAAAGACACGTCACCACAGACGTCAGATGTCAAAGTAAAAACAGCTTCTATCTAAAAAAAATACAGATTGTCTGATAAATAAAAGAAACCTTATACCAATCTATTTACAGGTAATGTAATGTGCTGCAGGTGGATGATTATTTTCTCAAGTTTGATAACTTTTTGGACAGATAATGTAATATTATGTTCTTTTTCAGTCCAGACTTCTAGATTTTGTGTTTTAATGGATGAAGGATGTCACACACTTTGGTTTTGGAGTGAAAGAATGACTTGGCTTAGTTAAAGTGTAGACTTTGAACACCACACAGAAACTCAGGGACACACAACATCATCCAGGAGCATGTACTCTGAACCAAGTTCAACAATTTGCTTGACTGCCATCGAGAGCAACTTTGGGTTCAGTGTTTTATCTTCGACATGTGGAGGGGTGGTGAACCGCCGACCTGCCGCCCAGGTTTCATTTAGCACAGTCGAGTATGAAATGTTATAGCATCACTTCCTGCACATTTCTCTGCAACATCAGAAGCAGCTTGACAGGATATGAGGATAAAGTGATTGTTTTTTATGACCATGTATTACAAAAAGTTGATGTTAATGTTTGTTGATGTAACTTCTTATCACATTCGTCTAAATCACTTGGAATGGGTTCCATTACTGGTAGAAATGTTCTTACAGGATGTTTTATTTTTACATTATTTTCAGTGAATTAATACATTATTGGGTGACGCAGTACCTTTAAAATTGAGCTAATTCATCCAAAAAGCCTGATCAGAATCCTTTCAGAGCACAAACTGACTTTCCTTCCTCACCATCGACTCCTGTAGGCACCTACAACAACCAGTACATGGTTGTGGACAGAAGCAAAGTGAAACTGGGCCACAGCGTTGATGACGGTGCTCTGACTGTGGTGGAGCAGATCCCCGGGTTGGTGGAGTACTCTGACCAGACACAGGCTCTGCGCAGAGGTAGCTGCTCATTTCTCACTGTTGCATACGGTGTTTGATCCATTTGGATGCTTGTAGATTTTCTCTTGGTCGCCCTGTCCTTTAGGTTACTGGCCGTCCTACAACATCCCCTTTCACCAGAAGATCTACATGCTGAGTGGTTACGGAGAAATGTGGAAGGAGCATGGAGAGGACTTCTCCTACGATCTCTGTCCCAGAGCCAAGATCTTCCGCCGTGACCAGGCTGGCGTCAAGGACCTGGACTCCTTGAAGCACATCATGAGGTTTAACGGTGTGTGGCTCCATTGCATCCATCATTCAGCAGACGTGCTGCGTCAGCTTTCCTTTTCCTCCCAATGAAGACGTTCCACCTCTCATCCAAGAGGCTTCATCAGCTCTGACTGACTAGTTGAGAGTTCCAGATACTGATATCCTTAAGGAGCCATTAACTCAGGTCAGATCCGAAACTCAGGTGTTAATGTCTCTTTCAGGATATAAGTATGTGGAACTCCCAACTAGTCAGTCAGAACTGATGAAGCCTCTTGGATGAGAGGTGGAACGTCTTCATTGGGAGGAAAACAAGTCCAGTTGCTACGATTAATCCATGAGAAGTTCCACTTGTTCGTCATTTTCCAGTAACCACCTGTTTATAATTCTACATGTGCTTGTTTTCAGACTACCAGAAGGATCCGTACTCTAAGGGCGACCCCTGCAAGACCATCTGCTGCCGTAACGACCTGAGAGAGACGAGGCCTTCACCAGAGGGTTGCTATGACACTAAGGTACTCCTCCTCAATGCAGTAAACTCACCTTCAAGGCTCATGTGGTCTCTGTTGCTTGGTCGTGTCGCCCCGTGCAACATCATGAAAATCAGACCCTTTCCTGTCTGAACATGCAGCACAACTCCTGGTAGACGCTCTTGTAACATCACACATCGACTGCCAGATCTCCTCACACGCACAGTCAAGCTTCTGCAGATCATCCAGAATGCAGCAGCACGTCTGGTTTTCAACCAGCCAAAAACAGCACATGTCACTCTGCTGTTCAGATCGCTTCACTGGCTTCCAGTTGCTGCCAGCATCAAATTCAAAACTCTGACACTTGTCCACGAAACTACCATGAATTCAGCTCCCTCCTACCTGAACTCTCTCATTCAGGTCTCCCTCCCTCCTGTTCGATCTGCAGAGTCCCTCTTAGTCTTTAAGAAAAGACTAAAGACCAGCTCCACACTGAACACCTTTGGGCTTCTGCAAAAAACAAAATATACAAACAGTAATTCCTATTCCTTCCTGCACTGCCTGTAGGCACCAAGGTCCGATCACACTTGAACTCGTTTTACAGCACAGATTGTTTTCTCAGGACTAGATCCTTGCTTGTGTTGTGTCTGCTCTCAAGCGTGCGTCGCTTTGGATAAAAGCGTCTGCTAAGTGAAATTGTAGAATTGAATAATAAGAACAATATACATATGTTTTCTATCACCAGCTTCTTCGCTAAGGTTTTCTCTCCTTTGTGTGCTGTCCTTGGTCCAGGTGACAGATTTCCACATGGCTGGGGACTTCCTTGCGGAGGCGGTGAACGGGCCCACGACACAGGACGGACTCCAGCCGTTCATCTGGGATCGGTTCAGCAACATCAGCCACCAGGGCCTGCCGCCGTACTACAACTTCACCTTCGTCAAGATGCAGCCTCTTCTCTTCGAGCCGTGAGGTGTGTGTGTGAATGCGTGAGAGATGCTTTCAGAGACATGAATGTCCAGGCTGACAGGTCCAATCAGATGTTTACTTTGTGATTTAAACGTCCATCTACACAGAATTAGGTCCTTACATAATATGTGCTTCCTTTGTAAATCTCTACATTGCATGTTGGACTTCTGTCCACAGGATTGAAGTAAACTTGTCAAACTTGTCGAACAAACAGATTTGATCTCAGTATAAAAGCACATATTTTACTCAGGGTATAGAGACTGATTTATTTGGGGGTACAGTAGGAAATGTGCAGCCATGTGTGCCTTAAACACTGACAGTAACTTTATGATTTGATAAAAATGTCAAATCAATGCACTAAATCAGTGTTTGTGCCATCTTCAGTACCTTTATTCCATCTTATTTTTTTTAATGGTTACATATCTTCATAAAATCATTTGAATCATAAATCAAACACAATCAATGTCCTTCTCAGGGCTTTTTATCTTTTCTGGTGATGCACGTGCATCTATTTCTTGTACTGTGCAAAGTATAAAGTATCTCAGGTTTGTATTTTTGTATAAGCCTGTGTGTCTTTCTGTAATACTGTCTTCATTTCATGTGCCAGTTGGATAATAAAGTTTTACTTTTGTACCAGCGCAGTCCTGTCTTGAGCCTGAACTGATTCGAACGTGTGCGTAAGTGTGTGATTCAGTTCAGAGTTTAGTCCACTTCAAGTTTAATCCTCCGCAACCCTAAATCAGTACAGGTCAATGCAGTTTTAACAGCATCGAAGAAATTCAATTCA